ATTTTCCCATAAGGTTCAATGTAATTACCGTTAATCCATTCCGGCGTCCGCAGACCACGCGCAGGGGCGGAAAAACGCCCGCTGACCACGAGGCAGGGCGGAAAAATGGCCGTGGACCATGTGGAACGGGTGGAAAATGGCTGCAGACCACGTGGAATGGGCAGAAAATGGCCGCAGACCATGTGGAACGGGCAGAAAAATGGCTGTGGACCACGTGGAACGGGCGGAAAATGGCCGCAGACCACGCGGCAGGGCGGAAAAATGGCCGCGGGCCACGTGGGACGGGCGGAAAATGGCCGTGGATCCGGTTCGTAAGTCGAGGCGAGTTCGTAAGTAGAGGTAAATTTTTGGGGCCGGAGCTGATTGTGTCTCGAAAAATTCGTAAGTCGGGGTGTTCGTAAGTAGAGGTACCACTGTACTGTCTTTTCTCTAATCAAAGAAGTCAGTTTAGCCATATCTGCAAGTTCCGTCATCTTCACCAACCATTCCTCTATTGTGGGTAGTGCTGAACCTTTCCACTTTTGAGCATATAATAATCTTGCTGCAGTTGTCATATATAAAAACAGAGTCCCATGACTTTTTTCTAGCTGTCTGTCCATTAGTCCCAAAAGAAAAAAGGCAGCACAGAAATTACATTAGTCTTTAAGATTTTCTGAATTAGTGTATGTATTTGTATCCAAAATTCTTTGGATTTTTTACACGTCCACCATACGTGATAAAATGTCCCTTCATGTTGTTCACATTTCCAGCATAAATTTGAAGTACCTTTATACATTCTCAACCATTTATGAGTACCTTGTCAATGAACAATTGTACTGTGTTAAAAACCCATTGTGTTTGTTGAGAACTTCTGAGGTCACCTGACATCTATCTATCTATCTATCTATCTATCTATCTTTCAAATTTGTCACCGCCCATCTCACTGTGGGGTGACTCTGGTCTGATATATATCAAATGTATCTACTGATATGGTAATGATATGATATGATACGATATGATATTGATGTTACATGTACTTGTATCTCAGAAGGTTAGTCAGAAAAGATGCTACCAGACTCCTCCCATTTTTTTTCCAGCATGAAGGAGACTGTAAGACTTTACTCCCCTGGTAAAGCTCAGGCAAGAATTCCTTGAGATTATGCAATACCAAGTCCTGGGCATGGATATCTATTTGTGTACTTGCTCGGTAGGATCTTCTATGTGTGTGTGATAATATCATCCTAGAATGAAGAAGTGTCAGCATTATATGCATGTGTTGGCCTGGAATGACAACAATCAGTGAAAGTACCCTGGTTCTTCAAAATTTATCTGATGGCTCTGTTGCCTAAGATGGAATGCGTGTTATTAGTCCAGGAGAAGAGCAGAGAAATTCTGCTCATTTTTTTAGGCTGAAGATTACAGCTGGCCTTTGAATTGCATGCCTGGTGCTGCATTTCAAATAGGAGTGGGTGGAGTCGGGCCAGAAACTAACTTTGATTTTCTTTCATGTACATATAAATTTAATCAACATCAATCATAGTTGATATGATGACTCTCTAGTTACATACATAATGATTTTGCCCTTCCATCATAATTAAACATTACAGTTTGGTAACTATTTTTGCAGACCTTTCAGTCTGCATTCCTCCCCTTGACCCAGTTGTGTTGAGATAGAGTATCCTGCTTTTCTGAGATTTCCCAGGGTGATGTTGGCCAAATTGCAAGACTCACTTCTCCATCTGTAAAATAAGGATCGTATCAGCACATCTTAGTGCTAAGATATGATGAAATAGCTGAAGACATGACAGTAGTGACATTGAAGGCTGGAACCTGCCCAGGGGAAGACAAGGAAACGAAGTCAACAAATCTTAGCTAATGTCAGGTCCCTTCCAGACTGATACTTGAACTAAAAGGCTCGCAGGCAGGGATTGAAGGACGCAGCTCTTGCTAAGATAGTTTTTATTACAGACAGTAGAAAAGCTGTTAATATGAAGAAAACCAACAACTGTAAACTCAAGCCATATATATAGCAAACCCAAGGTTCATTCCTTATGTCTCTCTTTCTTGCCATGCATCCTAGCCCTCCGAGAGCCAATTATTTTTCAGTAGGAGGTGTACATTATTATTCTTACCGATTGGCTTGCTTTCAAGACCTTTACTCCTGACCTTGCTCAAGTTAACCCTCGCAGCTAATTAATAAGGCAGTTTTCTGAATTAGGAGCTGGCCAGAAAGGCCATCCCTTCTGCTATTCTTTTATGGCAGGTTTTTAACTTCTTCCCCTCCTCAGCATATGTACGCTCACCATACTGAGACATATCTCAAGAATCTGTGTTATTTTTGTGCAATAAAATAACATGGAAAGGTAACCTCCTCTTCCCGTGTTAGGCTTGTGCAATTATGCAGAGTCCAACTCTTCTGCCATTGCACTGCGTTTCCTTCAAAGCAATGACTCCTGGATGTTCATTTTGGAGAAAATGTGATTTTCTTCCTTTTGCATCGTCCAGCTTTGTAGCAGGACAACTGAGATGGTGCCTCACCCTCAATGGTCCAGGAGCAGGTGCAGCAGAAGCCAGGGAGCTGTCCATCCCTCTGGTGCTGAAAGGTCCCTCATCTAGAGATTCTAGGAATATCCTTCATTATCTACCTCAAAAAGACCTGGAGTCCGAGCAAGAGACTCCTTTAACAAGGCTTCCCTCCCTTATGTTGTTAATAACAGCTATCGATTAGTGGGCGCCTCTTGCCTGCTAGATGTAATTCGTTCTCCACTGGCTTGCAGGGAGGTAAACAAGGAGAGAGAATAAAATAGGATAGTTTTTCTTCTATATATGCAAGAAAACAAGTGTCCGTCTCTTAGGCTGCCTTTGTGTCTCTGACTGGGCTTCAGAAACATGAATTAATCTTCGCACCAGGTGACAAGGTTGCTGGTCCAGATCTTGTAAAACAAGATTCCCTGGTCCAATGCCCCCTCAATGTGTTGGGCTTCAACTCTTATTATCTCTTTCTGGCTAGGGGTTATGGGAGATTAAGAGTGACACATCTAGAGGTCACCAAAGATTTTGCTGAAGCTCTTGGAGTTACACAGCAAGGCAAATTCATACAGTACCAGAGGTTAGAGATATACAAGATCCAGTTAGTCCAGAAAGGCAGTCTGTTGCAGCACCTGCCCTCTGGAATAGCAACCCCCGTCCCCCAGACATCCATGTGCCTCCTATCCTATTGGGGTTCTGGAAGTCCTTAGAAACATGGCTCCTCTCCCCGATCCTGGAGCTGGGTGGCTGCCGAGCCTGTGTCAGGTGTATTTTGCATCCTTGGGGTTTGTTTGTATAGACACGTATGGTTTTTTTTTGTCT